AAAACAAATCTGGAAACGTTTTAATGGATTAAAAGAAGGTTTAACAGATTAAAACAAGACTTTTAACAGATTAAAAGATTATTTTAACAGATTAAATAAACCAGCAGTTTTGAAAATCTTCTATATAAACAGAGTTGTTTGAACTTTTTATACAACATCTGAAATACATCTTTTGGCAATCAATCAAGCAATCAAAAGTACTACTTTCAAGAAAGAATCAAGCTAGTTTTTGTGAAGTTCATCAAAGTTCTTCTTGAGGCAAAATTGCATTTTTTTGGAGAAGAAACACATATTGCAGAACTGCATAAAACTGGTTTGAGCGTTTTAGTTTCTTCTGTTTGTTTCTTTACTTTCTTTTACTATATTGTGGGTGCCTGGAATTGTGGGCACTGGTTTCTGTAGCTGGAATCTGGCTGCAGGGTAGGTCAAGAACTGGAATTTGGTTCTTGGTGAAAGGTTAGGTGCAGGAATTGGAATTGTGGTTCTTGTGGTAGATTGAGTGTGTGATTAAGGTTGTAATCTGTAAAACATTCAATCTAGTGGAACCCAACTGGAATTTGGCTGGAGACTGGCATAGCCCTGGGATTGGGTGAACCAGTATAAACCTTGGTGATATCTTTCTAAACCTTTCTCTTCTTTAATTTTGTGACTGCATTTATTTTTGATTACTTGCTGTGTGATTCAAGAACTGGTCAGATTTCTTAATCTTTGAAATGGATAATCTGTTAATTGCGAAAATCTTTCGATGATCAATTCACCCACCCTCTTGATCTCAGCCTACATTTCTAACATAGAAGGGAAACAATTTAGGGTTAGGTTTTAAGAGTTGATTTGATTGGAAATAGAAAACCGAAAAAAATAAAGGATACCGTAGGCGCCATAAATAAGAATATTTGATAAGCCAAGAAGGATCGCCACAAGAATCGAATAATTCTTGATAAGATCAAGTGATGCAAGGAAGAACCCTAGCAGAGCAACAACTCACAAAGTGATTCTGAATATTACGTACGTTCATTCTGAATTCCCAAATGTTTAATACAACTTAAGTTTATGAGTTTGTCTCATTGTAGGAAATAAAGATAAATTAAAATCCTAATATCCAAAGCAAAGTTAAATTGCCCAGATGGTTCAGTGAAGGCATTATAAGCTTTGGGTCTTGGGTTCAAATCCCCACTGTAGCAAATAAAATAATAATAATAATAAAAACTAAATCTTTTAGTTGGGCCTCCTAGCTCTGCAAACATTCTATGCATGTGATAGGTCTAGACTCCTCCATGTTTGGATCTTTTAATAGTTGGACCTTTAGCAAATTGGTCACTTTGTATTGCAATGCCTCTTGTGTTTTTCTGAGTCTGCCTCTTGTTATAGGTCCACCTAAGTCTTGGATTGGATCTTGGTCTTGATCCTTCTCGTTATAGGCTTGGGCCTTTATGTCCACATCAGTACTTGACCGTACTGAGCTAGACCGCCTCTTTCTTTGCAGCGTAGCTCAGTGAGACTTTTGTTGAGTCTCCGGTTGGCCTCTCGTTCTTGGCGTATTTATGATTGAGTCCTTGTGAGGTCTTGTAGCAAGTCCTTGATCGTCTAAGCTTGTTTTGCAGATTTGGCCTCAAGGCATGCTGATTTGGAGGTTATTTCTTGAAGTTGGCTATCCGAGCTGGTTCTAGCAGCTTTGGATGCTCGGATAGCTTGCTCGTTAGAGTCAGCACACTGATCTTTGAGGCGCTCTATTTCATGATCCTTTTTCTTGCATTGCCTCTGTAGACCGTCTATGGTGAGGATATATTCTTGTTCTCTTTCTTCAAGGGCCCTCATCTGGGCTCCCATGATTTCTATTCTCCAGGTCAAGGCATTGACTTGATTTCACAGCTCTTCACTATTTGAACATGTAGCGAGTGAGGTGGATGGTTGCGACATCCCTCTTTTCCGTCTCCACTCCTCATAGTCACTGGAGACAGCTACTCGAGCTTTTCCTAGCTATCTATCTCCCATAAGGATTGGTTTCTCCCATGCTCTTTGCACAACCAATGAGTTAGAAATCATGCATGGGTCTCCAAAGAAACACAGTCCTCCGAGCTCCCCTCGGGATATTGCAATTTGAGTCCTCATGAGTTGTCTCATAGCTACTCTAGGTGAATAGGCTATGCAACCCCTGAGTCCTATCAATGGTATGCTCGGGTAATCCCCACATTTGATGAGGACTGGGTCAGGTCAGAACCAAGGGAAAAGCCAGGATAATTGGTTGGCGTCCCATTGTTCCAACTCGACCTTCCACTCTAAGGTTAGGCGTCGGTGGAGAGGGATTTTGGAGAAGCTTCTGAAAGGGTCGGGGAACATCCCCATGTGACTAGAGGCGTAGAAATGTGTGATTTTCCACACAAAAAGTAGTGAAGAGCAACATCGGAGTGAAAATTCCACCGAGAGCAAGGTGTCGGCAAGAAGTGCAGGCAAGGGACTCTTCAAATTTACGTCCCAGGCGAAGAAAACATCCATGACGGCTTGGTCTACTGTGTCGATATGGAAGGGAAATAAGATTATTCCAAATATGATCAAGGCCAGGGTTTTGTTAAAAGCAGTCCATTTTGCCCTTTCAGCCAAAGAGGACAGATAGTCTTCTAACATTGAGACTTTTCAACCCTGGATGTTCCCTCTTTCTATCAGGGTAGTCTGCCAGAATGGCAATCTGATGATGGCAATGACTTGTGCTGCAGAAGTATATGCTTCATGGCAAATATGGACCCCGGCTGATTTGGGCCATTTTAGCATAATCTCATACTCCTCCAAAGTGGGCACCATATCGAACTGCGGGAATTCGAAGCAGTGCAGACTAGAGTTCCAAAAATGAACTAGAACCCTGATAAAAATGGGATCGACACAGATCTTCAACAGGTCGAGAATCCATCCATAGGATTTTTCAAAGTCGGAGCGGACCTCCCATGGCATTATCGTGCAAAGTCGTTCCAGCTTCTTAGTATGGTATCGGGGAATGTCCACTTTCTTCAATTGTCTCCTAGTCCCCTCCATTTTCTAAAAACCAAAATGCATGTTTTATGAACATGATGCTTATTGTAGATATGAATGCGGGTGTTTGTTTTTCCCTAAATGTTTATCATGTTTTATTTCTACATGATGTATGATATTTACGTGTTTATTTTTAGAGAAATAAACTACCTATATGAATGATTTATGAATTTAATGTTTATAAACAAGGTCCCATTTATTTGATTTGGGTATTTATTTTTATTTTATTTTGGTTTTAGAGCCTTTTATCTCTTCTATCGGACTGCGTGGCTACTTAACTTACAAAGAACCTGAAACCAGGCAAGCTAAAAGGTAGACTGTCCGAGATAAAATGGTTTATTGCGAAAGAATAGTATTAGCGTCCCTTATCTCTTCTGTCGGACTGCGTGGCTACTTAGCTTACAAAGAACCTGAAACTAGGCTAGCTAAAAGGCAGACTGTCCGAGATAAGGGCGTTTATTGTAAAAAATTTCTTATCTATTGTTTGGTTATGCTATGCAATCAAATGCAACAAACAAATGCACATATAATTCACTCATCTGTGAACACGTGAGAAGACGATTTAATCATGAGGTAGGATTTTCCTGCAGAAAAGTGCATTGGCAAGGGTAGGTTCTAACTGTTCTCACCAAGGCTTAGGCCCCCAAGGTGCCCCCATTATAGGGTCCCCACTCTCCAGCCTTCCGACCATGCTTAGCACTAAGGCCATAGTTAGTCTTTGTGCTAAAAGAGGAAGGTTATCACCTTGAGTGGTGGTTTTCGATCATACCGGTGGGCACATGGCCCTCACTACGACAAACCGTACCTGCCACCCACTCCCTATGGATTTCTCACTTGCCCCGGGTATAGAGGGAACTGTTGTGTACAGTTTTTATTTCAAAAATTGCGTAAAATAAACAAACAACAGTTATTAAAGCCAAGCAATTAAAGCATGTTATAATACAAGTTAGGGTAAAAGCGAAATTTCTTAGTTTATTTATTAAATTGGCCCATCACTAAATGGGATCAACTCTCTAGGCTTCCCCAGTGGAGTCGCCATCTGTCGCTGCCATCAAAAAGAGGCGGTCGGAGCGACACGATGGTTCCGACTTTCCCATTTTTTTGCCTTTTTATGGGTGAGGTTACAACACCTTTAGGCTGTCTTATAACCGGGCTGAACCTAAGGGTGAGGTTTTCGAAAGGGCGTTCTTAGATCGTCCAATAACCGGGCTGACCTAAGAACAAGTTTGAAAGGGATCTTATGGAGTCGCCACTGATGTTTTTACCGGAAACATCGAAAAAGGGGATAAAAAGGCGTTGGTTTTTTCAAAAACCAACTTTGGTCGTTAAAACCAGAGTTGGGTAAGGGAGTTAGTTACGTGTAAGGGAGGTATTAGCTCCCTTACGACGCCCCTTTCAGGTTCCCTATGACAGGCCAGTTACTTTATAAATAAACTTTTTGAAAAGACGCTTTTACCCTTTTATTTGCGGAATAAAAATGATGACTACATGACCCTAATTAATGCATATATAAATAATAAAGCGATTAAAGAGAGAGAGAGAAAATGAAGAAACCTCTGAAGCAAGCTTTGATTAATTCTCTTGAAAAATAGGGTGCGTTTTGGCAGTCCTTCGCTCTTACAACGTCGAAATCGCTTTCAAAAACGCTATAAAAAGCTCTCTTAGACACTCAGAGACTCCGAAAATGCTTCGGAGGGACTCTAGGAGAAGAATTTTGCGAAAGTGCAAGAGGATAAGTGGAAGAACTATGTGAAATGAAGGGGAGAGCGCTCACTATTTATAGGGATTCGCGCCTGTCAGGTCGAGACGGCGGTCTCGACTAGCAAGGTCGAGACGGCGATCTCGCCATTCGGGACGGTAGTCTCGACTTGAATAAGTGGCGAGACGGCGGTCTCGACTTGCCAAGTGGCGAGAAGGCCTTCTCGCCATAGGGCAATGGAAAGAATCCGCGTAAAACAAAGCGGTGAGGGGCTTGCTTAATGGCTTTCCTTCCGGCTTCAATGCTCAAGGCATTTCTTTTTTCTTTTTTTGGATTATGCATTCCCATCTGGCATATCTGGAAAAAAGCGTAATGAGAGAGTCTTCGACCCCTCTTCTTCTTCTCCCTTCGGGTCACTTCATTCACTCTGTTTTCATGTCCTTCTTTTCTATTTACTAAAGGGAAAAGAAGGAGGAGGGATTTTATGGCAAAGCAAGACTGATTAGCTCGCCTAAGGTAAGGGTTGTAGCGGAAGAATTCCTCATCTGCGAGCTATTGGGGATCTATTCTCAGGAAGGAATGAAAGGACTGGGCTGCCACCCGAAAGGACTGACTGAATTTCATGCTTTCAAGGATAGGTCATTTAACTCTCTTTCAAGAATTCTCCTCTTTCCTCCCCTTGAACTAGTGGAATACGCTAGTCGACGGAGGAAGGCTAGCTATGATATCAGGCTCTGACCAAAGATCCTCAACGAATCCGCGGGGGAGGGGAGTCTCGCCAATGGCAAGTGGCGAGACGACAGTCTTGCCAAACAAGAAGGCGGTCTCGACTTGCCATTGGTCGAGACGGCTGTCTCGAAAAGCGAGACGATGGTCTTGACCCCTGAGGCGAAAATCCTTATTTTTGTACATAAAAACCTTCCTACTCCAATATGGGGCCTAATAGTCTCTCCTAGTGGCTTTTTAGGCTTTGTCCATCTTCGAATAGGAGGTCTTCTGCTCTTATTTTGAGGCCGGGCATGATTTAAGGTCTACAGTCTCCCGACTCGAGTCTACCGCTGTCTTAGGGATATTATCCAAAATAACTGTTGTAATAAATTTTATCATATCATGAATAAAATTTTTAGTAAATCCATTCGTCTTTATTCTCTATTTTCGAAAAAAGTTAGCGTAACAAAAAAGACTAAGAAAAAAAGAGACTTACGCTTAGTCCCAAAAAAGCCAAAATGATAGGCAAGGAAGACTGGCAAGACAACCACATTGACCAATAATCTTTGACAACCAGCAAAAGTCGAACGACAAATAAGAAAGGCTCCCCAACAATCAACGAAGTTGGATGACCACCGGAAGAGCCGAAAGAATCCTCGACACACCAGATGACTTTACCAAGGAGAAAAAGCACTTCTCACATTCGCCCGACATATGAGCTGGAGCAGTAAGTAGCCACCACCACCAGTCCTACGAAGTGGACTGTACCAGCCAGATGGGGGGTTCATACCCATCAACTTGCGCATGATCGGCACATGAGCTAGAGTAGTAAGCCACCACCACCAGTCTTACGAAGTGGACTATACCAGCCAGATGGGGGGTTCGTACCCATCAACTTGCGCATGACATGCGCATGATCTGCACACGAGCCAGAGCAGTAAGTCGCAACCGGTCCTACGCTGTGAACCATACCAGCCTGATGAGGGTTTTATACTCATCCAGTCCTACGAACAGTGGACTTCAACTACCAGCCTGATGAGGGGTTTATACTCATCCAGTCCTACGAGCAGTGGACTACAACTACCAACCTAATGGGGGGTTTATACTCATCAACCGAAGGGTCGACTACCGCAAGAAGGAACATCCTGAGGTTCTACCATGTGTCAACCAAAGGGGTCGGCTACCGCAAGAAGGATCATCCTGGAGGCGCACAATATTTTCTTTGTCCAGAGGGTCGACCACCGCAAGACGGAGCATCCGAAGGACAACCGGGCAAGAGGGTTAACTCCTTCACCCTCCAACCGATCTTTTTGTCATAACAGGCCAACAGTCGGCTAGTCAGGTGAAAGGGGGGGGTAGTTGTAGACCCCAAATCTTGTCCGACCTCAAAATAAAGAGCAGAAGACCTCCAATTCGAAGATGGACAAGTCCCTAGGATAGACTATTATGCCCCATATTAGAGTAGGAAGGCTTTTCTGTACAAAAAATAAGGATTTCCACCTTAAGGGTCGAGACCGCCGTCTCGCTTATCGGGACCGCCGTCTCGCCATTGGTAAGATCGAGACGGTCGTCTCGTTTGGCGAGACGACCTTCCCGTTTGGCGAGACGACCCTCTCGCCATTTGGCAAAACGAGAACATCGTCCCGATTGGCGAGACGACCGTCTCGACCTTGCCAGGCGAGACGACGGTCTCAACCTGACAGGTGCGAATCCCTATAAAAGGGGGGGGGGTGCTCTCCCCTTCATTTCACACAGTTCTTCCACCTTTCCTTCTACCATTTCTTAAAATTCTTCTCTTAGAGCCCCTCCGAAGCATTTCTGGAGTTTTTTTAGAGTTCTTAGAGAGTTTTTATAGCGTTGCGACAGAGAAAAGTCAACGTTGTAGAGCGAAGGACTGCCAAAATGCGTCCTATCTTTAGATAATTTATCAAGAAAGCTTGCTCCGGAGGTTTCTTCACTTTTTTCCTCTCTTTTACTTTTGTTTTTTACTTATATTTATTTGTGCATTAGCTATTAGGGTCATGTAGTCACTATCTTTTAATTCCGCAAATAAAAGGGTAAAAGCGTCATTTTAAAGTTTATTTATAAAATAACTGGCCTATCATAGGGAACCCGAAAGGGGCATCGTAGGGAGGCTAATACCTTCCCTACACGTAACTAACTCCCTTACCCAACTCTAGTTATAACGATAAAAGTTGGTTTTTCTTGAAAACCAGCACCTTCTTTTTTTCGTTTCCCGATGTTTTCGGTAAAACTATCGGTGGCGACTCCATAAGAACCCTCTTCAAAAACCTTGCTTTTAGGTCCAGCTCGATTATCGGACAATCTAAAAACTCCCTTTCGAAAACCTCGCCTCTAGGTCCAACCCAGTTATCGGACAACCTAGAGGCGTTGTAACCTTACCCATATAAAATGCAAAAACAGAAGTTGGAACCATCGTGTCGCTCCGACCGCCTCTTTTGACGGTGGCGACAATTCTCCTTGTTGCATTTTGTTCAAAGACACTCAAAGATGTATGAGAATGTAAGAGAGGATGCAGGAATGAAGTGCTTTAAAACTGACCCAAAAGCCCCTTTATATAGAAAAAATTATTTTTGGTCGGGACCGTCGTCTGGGATTCGGAATGATGGTCTCGAATTTTTGAAGTTCGGGACCGTCGTCTGAAATGTCGAGACGACGATTTCACTCTTTGCGATGTGGCGAGGCGGCCGTCTTGCCAAACAAGAAGGCAGTCTCGCCTTTAGCAAATAGCGAGATAGCGATCTCGCCAAACGAGATGGCAGTCTCGATTTCAGCAGATGACGAGATGGTGATCTCGCCATTGATGAATGGCGAGACAACCGTTTGGGTTTTTTGAATTTTTTTTTTTGAAAAATATAGGACCTTGTTCTAAAACATCTATGCATGCAATGTTTTCATGTTATGTGTCCTATAATGCTACTTAGTTGATTTTTCAGAAGGATTAACTGGTGTGTCTTTTGAAGATGAGGTTCTTCTGATGTCGTTTTCTAGCTGTACTTGTTTGTATCATTCCAGACTTAATATGACCGAAGAATAATTGTTGACTCAGGAGCAAACTTGCCATGTCGGTGTGATCTTTCCTTCTTTTAGAGGTTTCAATCCTCTTGTTGATTATATGCCTCCATATTCCCCCACTAATTATCAAAATATTATGATAAGGGTCAAGAGAAAAGAAGTAAGAGGATAATTTATTTCAAAAGCTTGTGTTTTAGACAATTGTATATTTTTATTTTTTATTCGAAAGGGGTTTTGTAAGAATGGCTGGCCAAGGTTGGTCCAAGTGTTTAAGCTGATGTTAAACAAACGTTTTGCTTTGAGGATTTGCATCTTAGCCAATTTCTATTGTTTTGTATGGTTGATTGACTTCCCCAGACTGCCTTTTGGATTTTCAGACTAGGATATTGTGTTTTGGTCCTAACTTTTGTCTAGGTTCGTTCTTTCTTGTTTTGGGAATCCTAGCGGACCTTATTTTGTAACCCTAACTTCTGTCTTGTCTACCCTTTATTGCTGTTCGAGTTTCCTAGTGGGTTGACCCTAATTTTGCGTAGCCCCCTTGGTGGGTTTCCTACCGGGTAATTTGCCCTCTTTTTTTGGTCTTTGGCTTCTATGAACTTCTTTTGATTTATTATTATTTTTACACAATTGGCTAAACACAATTTTATTATGATGAGGTAAAAACCTTATTCTGTGTTTCTAGTCAATCAATTTGATTACTTTTGCGATGGCGCATTTTTGTTTAGTTTGATGTACTTTTGAAAACATTTTCTTAAACATGGTTATTATGAGGTCTAGTCATGAATAGCAAGAAGAGAAGCAAATGGTAAGAAATGTATTATTATTAATTAAGATGGGAATATGTGCCCAAAAGATGCTCGGGGGTCGGTCTAGCCCCGGGGGATAATTTCTAACAATCATTGGGTTTACATCCCTTAAGAAAGGAAAAAGAACTCCTAATGAATAGAGTTGCTCTCGACGCTTGTATCCCTCCGCTTTGGAAGATCTTCTTGAATGTGCGGAGGGGAGACTTCCCTTTGCTTCTTTTAGCTCAGTCCTTTGCAGGGTCAAATCCTGGGCCATGCTTAAAAGGATTATCTTTGAATTCTGGTGGTTCTTTTATTCCTTGGGAGTCTGCCCCGAACCCTTGGCCAGGATGGTAACCATATTTCATCATTATGCGAGCTACCTTCGTATTACCGGGAAGTCTTTCTACATTGGCGATTTCAAGCACTTGAAAAGATGTTTCAAGGGCCTCTTCAGCCACATCCACATAGGGTTGAGTAGACAGTCCACTGATCAAGATATCATCTTTAGCTTGGACTGTGACCAGTTTGTCGTCTACTATGAACTTGACTTTCTGGTGGAGCGTCGAAGGTACTACCTTAGCATCATGAATCCAAGGTCTGCTAAGGAGACAACTGTATGTTAGGGTAATATCCATCACTTGGAAATTGACGTTGAAGATAGTGGGTTTGACTTGGATTGGTAGATTGATTTCCCCCACTACTTCTCGTTTGGATCCATCGAAGGCTTGAACGATAGTGCTGCTTGGGTGCATGTGGGTTCCTTGAATGGTAAACTTGTCAAGTGTGCAATTAGGCATCACGTTCAAGGATGACCCATTATCCACAAGAATTTTAGCGATGAGATATTCTTTGCATTTGATGGAAATATGCAAGGGTTTGTTATGGCTCGACCCCTCTAGAGGGAGTTCTTCATCTGTGAAGCTGAGGTGATCGCTAGTTGTGATGTAGCTGTCGCCGCCGTCAAAAAGAGGTGATCAGAGCGACGCGATGGTTCTGACTTTCCATTTTTCGCGTTTTTATGGGTGAGGTTACAACGCCATTAGGTTGTCCGATAACCGGGTTGAACCTAGGGGCGAGGTTTTCGAAAAGGTGTTCTTAGATTGTCCGATAGCCGGGCTAACCCAAGAACTAATTTGAAGGGGTTCTTATGGAGTCGTCACCGATGTTTTTACCAAAAACATCGAAAAAGGAGGAAAAAGGCATTGG